ATCTATCTATCTATCTATCTATCTATCTATCTGTTTAACTTCCCTCCAACTATTGAAGCGCCGTCACCACCGCCCTTTGAAATGTTGCTAACTGTCACAAATGGAGCGCTCAGAGGTCTCAAATTTATTTGTGTTTTTATTCCTATGAAAGACATATACTGGAACAAAATTCACTCTATATGTTTCACCTTTGACCTGATTCACCATTGCATTTTTCCTCAACCTGTTTCCTGTCTCCTGAGGAGACATTAATTGAATGCACAATGAATCTTTATATTAGTCTGAAATGAGAGACAAAAAGTAGTGAACGTTTGTACGGTATCCTTACTTTTTTGAGCTGCTCTTATAATTTTATGATTTACGTGATGCCATATTTATCTTTGGTGTTGAACTCAACATTAGTCTAATGTAGTCAAAGTGAAACTTGTTAAAGACAAACTTATGGAGAACCATTTTATTCTTAGGTAAATAAATAAAAAAATACCATAATAAGTAATTTATATTTATAAAATTTCAAAAAAATAGTCCATAAAATAAATGCATTTCCTCAAGTAAAAAAAAACTAAATAAAACTTAAATCAAATAATTCTGAATAGACTGAGGCGTTCCATAGAGGGAACACTGTCCTCTCAGTTATAAGAACTTAAAATAAAAGACGAAGAATAAAAAGAGCTTAAATATAAAAATGAAGTTTAAAAAAGTTCTTAAAATACTTAAAAGCTATATAAAATAAAATTGTAATAAAAAAAAGATTATTATAAAATAAATAAATTACTTCTTAATTGTATTATTAGATCAACCAGGAAATTAATAGATATGTTTTGAAAAAATAAATCTACTACATTTTGAAAAAATATATATATTTAAAAAATCATCTATTCTGAAATTAATAAATCATGAAATAGGAAAATAACAAATACAACAATAAATCTTAAAGTTAGAAAGACCGAAGAAATGATAAAATAAGCATAAAAAAAAAGTTTACTACGGGTACATCTTATTTATCTGATGAAATTTTTTAATTTATTTGGATTTGAATAAAATGGCTTTACATGGAAACTCCACATATTTTAGCAAACAGATATTTTAATGCTCTTTGTTTCATCCTTAGAAAAAAAAGCTTTTATTTCAAATGGGTTGTTATTTCTGCATCAGTGAGAACTGCTATTGTTAGAAACAATTATTTAATGTTGTGCTATAAAAAGAAAAAATTGAAAGTCATGCTACTCCAGTAAAATGTTATTTTCCATGTGTTTATCATGGCTGCCAATAAGATGCCTTGTATTTGAATCTGATTCCTTTTTTATTGTACTTGTTAAAATCTAGTATTCTTAGGCAAACATAACTGTAGCTATGTGTGTCCAACCTTTCCATGCTTTTTATCATTCCTCCATTCTCCAGTGTAGATGGCACCACCAGCATAGTAAAAGGTTCCTTTTCCCTGCCTTCGACCTTCAAGGAAATCCCCCTCGTACTGGTTGTCCCTAACATATTCCGCTCCTTCTTTTGCATTCACCAACCAGGTTTGTGTGCCATACCCATTCTGAAAGAAAGGAGAGTCAATGAGATCAAGAACTAAAGTTTCAATCAAGTTTACATAAAAATATAATATTATCTCAAACCATGTTCTATAAATCATAAACTGCAGGTTTTCGATATCAGTTACAGGTATAACCCTAAGAATTCCCACCACACCGTCACTATCATACCTGTACTCCATTTTGCCAGTTCCCAGCATACTCCTGTCCCAGCGTTATCCAGATCATCCTGCCCTCTCCATGTTTCAGATTGTTCCTCCACTCACCAGTGTACGTGTTCCCAGAGGGATAGCTGCTCAAAAAACACTTATCATCTTTGTAATATTAAATTCAAAACCGTAAATTGCGGATATAAGCTTACCGCCTCTGTCCCCATCCCTCTATCCTGTTCATCACCCAGTCACCTTTGTACCATGAGGTTCTGTCCTTGTTATAAAAAACGGTGCCCTAAATAAAAAGAGAGCGTCAAAAGATTACACCCATCAAATTTGGGCTTTTAATGATTTCTGTGAATGTTTTTTTTTGTGTGCATCAGTTTTATTCATATGGAGGGAATTTTGTTTCATTGATGCTGCAAGCAAAAAAAAAAAAAATGTGTAAATGGATTTGAGAAAAATACTTTTTTAAAAGTAGAAATAGAAAGAAAACATGCAACACACATTCTCTTCATTTCCGTGGGCAGGCTTTCCTCTGGAGTAAGAAGCAGAGACGCATTTCTATAGGTCTGCTGGACATTGCCCACAACCTCAAATATATGGTAATGTTTATGTTTAATAGCCAGTCACAAGTAGGAAAATTACTATTTAAAATAAGCTTTATAAGTTCTGTGAGGCAGAAAGATCAAATACTAAACCAGGAAAATGTCAGAAGCTTCTCTATGGCTACTAAAGCATTAAGCCTTCTTGTGAATCACCACAGTACATTTATCCAAATATTAGAGAGAATGTGTATATATTTTTTAGCCTGTATATAATTCTTACCCTGTCTTGTGGAAAAAAAACCAAACAAACAAGTTAAAAGATAAATGATTACACAGTATTTAAAAAAGTGAATCCTACCTTCCCGTGCCTCTTTCCGTGATGCCACTGTCCTGTGTAAGACACGCCCTCTTTGGCGCATTGGTAGGTTCCCAGTCCGTGTCTTATACCTCTGAGGACTTCCCCCGTATATGTGCTGCCATCTCTCCATGCTAAGGTGCCATGGCCCGTTGGCACATTGTTCACAAGGTCCCCCTGATGGATTACAAATTTTAATCCATGTTGAATAATTTTTCAACCTGATGGATGTAATAAGTGCATCAGCGGTTTCAATAGTTCACCATTCAGCGACCCTACCTCATATTTCACACCGTTTGCCTCTATGGGTCCTTTGGAGAAAGTTTCCTTCATAAAACAGTTTTAATATGACTGTTTAATTCAGTGAGATGAAGATTGATGAATCTTCATTATGAATCTGATTGATAAAGATACATTTTATTTGCGTTCCATACCTGCACATTTGCATAGTCTGCCTTGTACTCATGTCTTCCTTGAAAAGACACACCGTCTTCATGAAATTGTTTGTCCTTGGTTGTTCCTTCACACCTGTCGTCATTGATCACAAAATCATACTAACTTATGGAGTGAATTGTTTTCCTTTATAGTTCCAAGAAAACAACACTTTTTGTAAATTGACATTTGAGAAAAAAAATGCAACCCCGGAATACAACTTTGAAAAGATGTTTCACTCCAAAAAAGGTTTTAGTAATAACTTTATTTTTATTATTTTTTATTTTCTCTAATTAATTTATCTTATTTTATTTTTTTATCAAAAGCAGGGAATATTTTAGGTCCAAATTTTACATTTTTTATTAATTTTTCATGTTTTTATTTATTTTTTTTACAGCTATAATTTTCTCAATCATAACTTTATAATTGACACTTTTTCAAATTCCCATTATTAGATTGAGTTTGATGAATTTCATTCCTTTCAAATTGGTATTTACACACCACATGCTCTTTACTTTGGGGGGGGGCTTTCATTTGGAGTTAAAAGCGAAGATGTATTTTTATTGCTCTGCATGGACTTTAGCAACATCATATTGGTCAATGTACACATCCAAGAGTGAGCGTTTGTATTGGGGTTGGAGTGAAGAGAATGTTGAACCCCCCAAAAAATACAATTTAGAAAACCTAAAATAAAAAAAATAAAAAAACAGAAATATAATTAAATAAATTAAATATAAACTCTCTGCATAATGACCTTTTTAGAATCAATTAAGGTATTAGATCCCTTAAAATATTTAACAAATGAAATAAAATGACAAATATGAAAAATAAAATTAAAGCAAAGTTAATCCCAAAACTTTTTCTTATTAAAACGTTTTTCAAAGCTTCTTTTCTGATTGGATTTTTTCAAATTTCAAAATACAAAATGTGGGTATTTTTTTTTAATATATCCATTTATGGAAAATGTTCTTTGCATGTAACAATAACGGAACACAATTCATTCCATACAAACTTAAGTTAAATTAAGCTTTTCTACATTTTTGAGGTTTAAAATTAGCATCTGAACTCAAAAAATTATTTTAAACCTTGTTTATACTGTTAAGTTTATCATTATTTAAGCTACCTTCCTATATTCGGACAATCAGCAGCAGGGAGTTGATTAACTGTTTGCTAATCAGGGGCTGAGTTCGTGGCAGCAGCTGTTATTTTCCTATAAACGTATAAAAACGTTAACCTGAAAACTTATACCTTTCTTCATCTCTTCTTCTCTTTTCCATGGCTGCATCTATAAACGTCGCTTCGTTCTTTGCACCAAACTATCGCTGGATCCATCCGTTATCATTTGTGTGGTGAATATATTTCCGTCTCTATGGCAACGCAGTAGCGGTTGTATGCGCTTCTAACTACGGCAGCCCAAATAAGTCAAAAAGCTTCTCAGTAGCTCAAAACATCAATGAAAAGCTTGAATAAACATAGCAAATCCCTCTTATAGGAAATACAGAAAAACACAGGAATCTCATGGAGAACATATTTAAACTATAGTCATAAAAAAATAATCAATAAAACAGATTTTAGACATGGATAAATTTGTCATTTTGTATACACAAGTGTAAAACAAAAAGAAATTTCGTTAAGAACAGCTCTCTGGACAATTTCATTTTTTGTGCAGCCTTGAAAATAGTAAATATATATATATATATATATATATATATATATATATATATATATATATA